TGTTTCGCCGAATGGTTCACGAAATATCAGCGTTTTTGTGGTGAAATTGGTCCTATAGGAATGAATGGGGGAATGTTCAAAACTAGAGTGGGAGCTAAAAAATCAGGACATGATTTCTAAACTGCCATCACTCCCTCATTTTCAAGCCCACCTACACATATCAAAACGTTCAGCTATCCCTGCTGCCAATAAAAATGTCCACGGCTAAGCCATAGTCCTGATAGTTTTCACAATATGACCATTTGTTTGCAACTCATGCCGCCCATTGACAGTTACTCCAGCCACTCCAACCACACAACAGTTACTCAAGCCACTCCACCCAGTTACTCCGCCCACTTCAGTTGTAGACTACTGGTGGAGGCAAGAACACTTCACACAATTTCCCCAGAAATTGTAGCTTTTCTAGTTTATTTATTTATTCTTCAATCTTTTTCTTCTATTTTGTCTTCTATTTTCCTTCTGTTTTTCATTTAATTTCATTATCTTTTCATCCACGATGCCTTCATTTATAAGCTCAGTTGTTCACTTATAAGCTCAGTTGTTCATTTGCCAATCGGTAGTGCTCATTAGAGTTTCCCTATATATGCACATACCTTTCCCAGTACTGCCTATGCTTGAGAAGTGAGTGCTTTTGCCATCCAGCGGCTTCGCGCATGCTCCAAAATGTGTTGCATTGCATGCTGGTCCTCCCTACGTCATCAATCTGAAGCCGACATTGCGCTTTAAGGTGCATTCCATTGCCCATCTTCTGAGACGGCTCTCTCCATCTACAGTCTCCCTTAAGCGCAGACCGCGGCTCACTCAGTGAGGACTTCATCTCGACACTTCAATACACCGATGAGCTTTTTTTATACTTTTACCATGTAAGTGATTTTCTATTGTTCTGGAGTAAATGTCCTTATACTGTACTTAGAGCCGCTTTTTCTTCTTCATTGTGTCTTTATCCAGAGCCTGCTACAGCTTCAAGAGCTTGCCCTAGTGCTAGGTGGACTTATATACATTGAACTTTATTATGTACTTTTACTTTGTTCTTTGGCATCAGGACCTGGGGAATTAGTTTGCACTGATTTTTCTGTTCTTTGTCTTCAGAAATGACAAGACCTGTGAACTTTTGGAATAGACTTTCACAGAAGTCCATTCTAGCCAATTCAACAGATTGTTTAAAAGGACTTTATGTGTTCCTAAATGCAAAAAATATAAATGACTATTAATATTTATGGATAACAACACAGTAGAATATTGTACCAAAAAGCTCCCAATTGTCTAATGGCCTTTTCACAGGAAAGACATTTCTTTGATGCGGTTTCAATTTTAGTAGACACTCATCAAACCTTGTCAATGTATGCATTATGACGCAGGTTTACACACGTCAACACATCATGACACATTTCAACACATCACGATATACATCAACATGCTCTGATGTGCATTATGATTCACTTTACCAATCAATAGAAAGCGCATTTCAACACGTGTTAAAACATGGGATAACGCTTATTAACACATGTCAAAGTGTGCTGATGTGCGTTCTGATGCCATCCATTGATTTTAACCTCCTCGGCGGTCTGATTATTTCCGATATTTTGTGCTGAAAGCGGTACCATTATTTTGCATGGAAATATGTAGTTTTTTATTGTAGGCTTTAATTTTTAGGAATAACTCACTGAAATCTGTACGAACAAGAGTCTAGTAAACATCCCGGGTATGATAAAATTTGAAAAACACGAAATCATAAATTATAATTTAATAAATAATCATAAAAAAATAATAATAATAAATTTAATTCAATAATATAATCAAACCAAAAACACTGAAATTTGAAATACAGAGGCAAATTCGCACATTGCTGAGCAAAGTCGCAAAATCGTTTTCAGTGTCTGATGATGAATTTCCCCACGAATCATTATAACTGAATTCTGCAAGTGGTTCTGATTTACTATCGCTGTTCTCTAGCTGGTCTAAAACCGCTTTTGACGTAAAGGGACGCTTTTTGGATGCCATGGACTTTTCTAAGTTTCCAGGCAGAAAGAACAGTCAAAATGCAGGCAGGGCACAGGACAAAGCAGTAGGGACAAAATGTATGTGAAATGCATTGAAACAGCAATGTTTTACTATGTAATAATCATTTTTAAAAAAATGCCATTTTTTAAAAATTTCAAATTTGCCGCACGTCCCAACGTCACAGGGACCAGAACATGGAAGCCAGATGCCAGCATCGGCCGGAGGAGATGGCCGGGGACGCTGCAGGGGACACATCGTGGGAGTGAAGGACAAGGTAAGTGCTGCAAGGAATCCCTAAGCAGCGCCGCATGGTAAGCCCGAGTGTAGCTCGGGGTTACCGCTTTTGGTACTCAAAGTTTACCCCGAGCTACGCTCGGGAATACCGCTAAGGAGGTTAATAAAAAAAATGCATCAGAAGGAAAACACATAAGTCACCGGTCACACCGCTGATTTAAAATCACGTGATTTGTGTGCAATTTCAACGCAATTTCAGGTGCAATTTTGGAAGACTTTATTGCTGCTTGTGAACATTTTCAACGATTTCTTGCAATTTGCAGAGCAATTTCCATTGTATTCTATGTATGTGAAATCGCAAAACAAAACTGCAGAAAAAGTAATGCAAGAACTACTTTAGAAATCGCGCTGCAGCAAATAGCACATGTTAAGACACTGACATTCACATTCATTAGATGTGGTTACAGGTGTGATATCAATTAAAAAATTTCACCTGAGATCACACCGGTATCACTGGGCACTAAGGCTTGGTTCACACTGGATGCGATTTAAAATCGCACGTTTTGTTTGCCATGTATTCTGAAGATTTCCCAACGATTTCTTGCGTTTTCCATTGCGTTTTTGCAGTGCAATTTCTATTGTAGTCTAGGTGAAATTGCCACAAACTGCAGAAAAAGTCATACAAGAACTACTTTGCTGCAGCAAATCGCATATGTTAAGACACTCCCATTCACATTCATTAGATCCGATTTCAGGTACGATTTCAATTCCCAAATCGCAGCTGAAATTGCGGCAGTGTGACCGGGAGCTAAGAGTGAAAAGACCCTGATAGAATAGAATTTATTTTTAATGCCGAATCATGCTTCATAAGGGTTTTTGCCTCCACATGGATCACCCATGAGCCTAGGGTTTTCAGGAAGCAGGTTTTATTTGAATTATTTTTGTCTTTTGGTTGATGGTCATGGGTCCTTTGTGGAAATCCACATATGTTTTGGTGATTTGCCCCTATATCCTTTACGGTTAAAAATACAATTTACGTAAACTTTTTTTTTTTTTTTTTAATATTATCGCAAACTGATTATGTACCATCTTATGCTGGCTGAGTTTCCCCAAGAGAAAACCTAACATATGTTACTGAATATTTTTGTATAAAATGGCTTTCTGACACGCTGACACTGACATCGCCGTTTTATGCCTCTAAACAGCCTGCCATTGCAAAAACAACACTAATTATCATTAGCAGGCTTAATACTCTCTAATTAGAGCTAATGCTAACATGCCAATAATAAACAAAAAAAGATATTCTGACTAATTAGCTGTATCGTTTATGACTAAACATCCCCAGAAACACCATCACTGTCACAAGTTCACACAGAGTGAAGGAAACACTGAATAAAACAGATGTGATCTATTTGCAGTCCTGTCTCACAGGCCTCACTGCTGGAATTGTTTGCTATTTAATCAAAATTATATATTTGCTGATATTGTTATCTTATGGTTTATTATTCGGTTTTGTTTTATATTATCATTTGCAAATAAAATGCTTTTCAAACATGAATAGGAATTTTAGTCATGCATTATTTAGGGAAAGGTTTTCAGAGTTAGAATATGGGGTCGGCCCACTGTACGATGGTGAATGCAACTATGGTCAATCCTTGTTAGTGACGGTATTTGGGGGTTGCGGGAGAGATCAAGCTGGTGAGGTGATATGGCTATCTTGAGGCATCAGAGGCCACCTAGCACAGTTTTAGTTTTTGACATGTTTGCTTAAAGTGGGCGTAAAGTTAATTTTTTTTTTTCTAAAATAACAAACATGTTACACTTATCTGCTCTGTGCAATAGTAGTTCACAGAGCAGTCCCTAACCTCCTCTTCTTGGATCCATCACCAACACTCTAGACTCCTCTTCTTCTCTGCTTCCTATGATGGCACGTGTGAGCTCGCTCTTGTGCCGGGCTGTGTGTGCCCACTGACACACCCAGCATGGCTTGGCCCTGCCCCCCACTCTTTCCTCACTTGATCTGACCAACAGCAGCAGGAGCTAATGGGTCCCGCTGCTCTCAACCAAGACTGTGAGAGAGTAGAGAAGACCTGCAGACGAGCACAATGCTGGAGAGATACAGGACTTACAGATAGGTATTCGGGGGTGGAGGGGAGGGCGGGAGAGACAGGTTTTTTTTACCTTAATGCATAGAATGCATTAAAGTAGTTGTAAAGGCTGAAGGTTTTTTACATTCATGCATTCTATGCATAAAGGTAAAAAATCTTCTGTGTGCTGCTCCCCCCTCAGCCCCCCCAATACTTACCTGTGCCCATCATGGCCCAGCGATAGGCACGAGAGCTTCAGCTGTTCCAGGACTCCCTCTCCTTATTGGCTCCCACTGCTGTCAATCACAGCCAGTCAGCCATTGCGGAGAGAGCTGGGGGCAGGGCTGAGCCACAGCTCTATGTGTCTTATGGATGCATAGAGCAGGGCTTGAGAGCAAGCATGCACCAGTAACCCCCATAGCAAGCAACTAGCTATTGGGGACACTGGTCAAGGGGGAGGAGCCAGGAGCGTGAGCTGGGGACCCAAGAAGAGGAGTATCGGGGCTGCGCTGTTAAAAACCACTGCACGGAGCAGGTAGGTATGACACCTTTGTTATTTAAGAAAAGCCAAACCTTTATTACCACTGCAAGGTAAAAAAACAATATGCCTTTAATTTGCTGTCAAGGAGATGTCACAAAGATATCTTACTTATGATTAGTGGAACATCACATACATACCATGGAAAGAAGGCTGTCACTTTACAGACCAGTAAAAGAGATGCAAGGACAAACAGTAGCCCCTGTAAAAAATACAAACATTTAGCATTTCTGTATTTATTCATTTTGGTGGTTTATATACTTAGTTCACACTATACTGATATCAGTTCAACACATTTTGCATTGCTTTAATACAGAGAACTGTTTACATCAGAATACGGAGGTTACAATTTCCCCATCACTTTTACAAACTAGAAACAATTTACTTAGAAACCAGTTAGCCTTTGAATACAATTTTTGATTAGCTATTGTTATATTTACAGTGGGTTCAAACACATAGTCATTTTTTCAGGACTAGTATATCCATGTTCAAGTGCCAACTTGTGGCAGCTGGAAACTGTAATAAGTATTTGTTGGAACACTAATAATAATCTTCAACCCAGGTGACCCCATAGTGGAATGTTAAAGGCCATTCTCTGCCCCTTTACATTGATGGCTAGTGGGAAGAAGACTGTCCTTTATATTGGTGGTCGGTCATCAATGGGAAGAAAAATGTCCTCTACATTAGTGGTCAGTAGGTGGCAGAGTGCCTCTTTACATTGTTGGCCAGTTGCGGAAGGATACTTGTATACATTGGTAGTTGGTGGAGTGAAGAATTCTTCCTCACATTGGTGGTCAGTAGGTGGACAACAAATGTCCCTTTCACTAGTGGTCAATGGGTAAAAGACAGTGACTTACATTGTCAGTGGGTAAAAGAATGCCCCCCCCCCCCCCCCCCCGCTAAGTGGTTAGTGGGTAAAAGAATGCCCTTTACAATGGTAGTCAGTGTGTGGAAGACTGTCCCCACACATGTGCGATCATAGGGTTTCCCTTAAAGTGTTACTAAACCCACAACAGCAAAATCAGTCTGTACATGCAGTGAACAATGCTTATTGTGTTCACTGTGGAACCTAAGGGGTTAATCTTCCACATTGTGTAAAAAGGATGTTTTGTCCTATCTTCTCTGATAATGCCCTACTTCTACTGTCCCCAATCCATATGCTGATAGCACTGAGCTCTCAGAGGCACTCTGCACATGCTCAGTTTGGTGTGTATTGCTAGACAATTTTTTTTTTTTTTGGGGGGGGGGGGTGCATGGGATCAGCACATGGCTAATCAGTGCTGTCCAGACAGAGGGTCAGGGGTTATGCAGCTTACTAGGACAGTCATATGAGAATGAAAACTCCTCCTACAAGCTTTAGCCAGTGCAAAGCCGGACACTGATAGAAGTCACAAGACTGCTATATACTGCTGATGAGAAAAGGTATTTAGCAGTTTATAGTTACAAAAAAATTGCATTTCCATGTTCTTTGAACTGTGGGAGACAGATTTTGTGAATGCAGGGTTCAGGGTTCAGTAACAATTTTAGCTGACAGTCATTGCTTTAAGGAATTGCTTAAATAATTCCTATCACATTTTTGTTCAATGAGTGGAGGAATATCCTGTACACTGGAAGACAGTGGGTGGAATAGTTCCTATTATACTGCGGTCAGTGGGTGAAAGACTGCCTCCTCAAAGTGGTTTCAAAGGCTCAAGGTTTTTTACCTTGCATTCTAAGCATGAAGGTAAAAAACCTTCTGTGTGCAGCATCCGCCAAGTCCCCCCTAATACTCACCTAAGCCCCCTTTCAATCCAGCAATGTGCACTGGAGTCTCAGCTATCTTAGGACTCCCTCTCCTCATTGGCTGAGACAGCAGCAGAAGCCATTGGCTCCTGCTCCTGTCAATCACAGCCAGTGAGCCAATGAGAAGGGGGGGGCGAGCTGCGGCTCTGTGTGTGAATGGACACACGGAGCAGTGGGTGCCCCCATAGCAAGCTGCTTGCTGTGGGGGCACCAGATAGGAGGGAGGGGACAGGAGTGTCTGCAGGTGACCAAGAAGAGGAGGATCCAGGCTGCTCTGTGAAAAACCACAGTACACAGCAGATAAGTATAGACATGTTTGTTATTTCAAAAAATAAAGTCTTCAGAATTACTTCAAATTAGTGGCCAGGGATGGATGAATGCCCCATACAAGGTTTTTTCAGAGGGTAGAAAAAATTACCTTTACATTAGTAGTTGGTGGATGAAGAATAACCCTTATATTGGTGGTCAATGTATGGGTGATGTCCCATAGGCTCCACTAAAGCATGAGTATTGATTTCAGTGGTTACTGAATTGAAGAAAGGTACCTCTCCTGACTTTGTCACGTGGCACTGGTGATGGAACTATGTAGGCACCATTAGAAGAAAGATCTTTTCCCCCAGACTGGGCCCCAAGGCACTTTCATTTAGAGAGGACAGACAGGTCCACCCCCTCCCCTCTGTCACACCCATTAGCAGCCATGGGTCATCATGAGAAACATGCCTGTAAATGACGTAAAATACATTCTTGCATCCATCCCTCCCTCCTAGTTTTCTGATATGTGAAAGTTGGGCACCATTCAAGCTAAAAAGCACCTGCTCCACTCTCAATCACATTGAAAATATATAGATCAATAATACTTCATGTGCAAAGACACATTTGGACATATTTACAGACAAGAAAAAGGGAAACCTAAAAATATAAATAAGTTAGACACTTTGGTGCTCTGAAAAAATAGTTGTGCTGCCCACAGCAAACAAACTCTATCATGTTTCTGAAATGTTCTAAAATGAGATCAGACATTTGCCATTCGCTTTGGGCTATATCACTACCTTTCCTTTTAACTAGTGTTTAAATATAAGCAATGCAGTCATTTGAAGAGTAAAATATAACATGAAATGTACAGCTACTTTTTGTAGTTACAATAAAAATATCATGGTTTATGGGTCAATTTTTTTAAATTATTCTTTTAACATTTACAAATATAAAAACTGCTATTTTTTATAATATTTGGTATTTGTGTATGTTCTAAATCTTACAAACAATAAATACAGGGAGCACCGGGGCGGTCTTTAATATTGATTGGACCCTGAGCAAATATTTTCTTGTGCCCCCTGCCCCCCATGAATTTTTGCCCTCCACCTGCTCTGAGACATACAATAAATAGCAGCTAAACTCAAAATCAATTTACTTGATTGCTGGAGGTTACATCATATCATTGCCACCCACTGACTGGTTGCTAGAGGTTACAGCACATAATATCTGCTTCTTGATTGGTTGCTAGAGGTTACTGCACATCATTACTGCTATCGTAACTTTTGTGACTCTCTCTCTCTCTCTCTCTAAAGCTGGCCATAGATGGATCAAAATTTGGCTGGTTCAGCAGAGACTGGACAAATTTCAATCTACGTATGACCGTTCTGACCATGCTGATCAGTGTATTCTGAAAGTGGAAGAATAGCACAGCAGGGAGGATTTCCCCATCCATCTCCCTTGTGTGAATTGGGAAATCTGGTCAGATTTGTTTTATCGCCCGTTGGCTGATCAAAAAATAAAATGGATACATATATGGCCAGCCTAATTGAGCTTGCATACATCTCCTTCTGAAGAGAGCTGCCAAAGGAGAACTGTTGTAGCATCCATGTAAGTGGGATGAAGAAAGGAAGCTGGGAGGCTGGAGTTTGGGGGCTTATTGGACTGCACTGAACTAAAGGGGCCCTGTGTGGCTCTTAGGTAGGAAGAGGGACAAAAGGGCTCTGAGAGAGGTAGAGCGGCTAAGGGGCTTTCAGGAGTAGTAGGAGTTTCTTCCACCACCCTACGTGTGTTTGCAGTTCTCTTCCTGCTCTCTTCCACCCATATTAGGCTGAAATTGGAAGGAAAGCATAATCCTCTCACCAGCAGCTAACACAGTTTCTGTTCTACTCTACAGGGGGGATGATGCAGTCACTCCTGTCAATCAGCAAGTAACCAGAGAACTAAGCAATGGCACACTGACTGAGCTGTCACTGTCAGCTCTCAGTAATCACTTCTGATCGGGAACCAGCAGGAAGGGTTCCCAAACTTTTGACAGTTGTGAGAGCCAACCACTGCGGTCATACAATACAAGAAGGTGTCAAGGAGTAATTAAGCTCTTTCAAAAACCCTGAGTCTGTATTAGTACAATACAGGTGGAGGATTTTGGAGGAATGAAGCTCAGATAATGTTATTGTGGAAAAGATGTCCCTGAAAAAAACAAAAACTTGAGGTGTCCATAAAATGTAAAACTATCCACAAACAAGCCACAAGCAAAAACAAGCTAGCCACACCCCTTATGTTAGCCACACACCCATTTTTTGCTTTAGGAACCTGGTAAACTTCTCAGTAAATGTTCTCTCATCTGTATCAAAGAACGTGATTGGTGACCCGACTAAGCATGGGAGGAATAAGAACAGTTAGTCTAAGAGGCAAATACAACCATCTGGGCCTTTCATGTGTTGAACAGTTTCATTTTCCTCACAAAGCCTTATATAGGCTTTGATTTTGGAGCTACCATCCAGAATTCATCGACCAGCGCCCTTGATCTTCATTTAACCTGCTTCAAGCAGGTTTTGTATTCCCAAAAACTTGTATAGGAACACAAATCCTGCTTTAAGAAAACATAAACCCGTTAACATGGGCTGGCTCTTACTTGGTTTTATGTGTTCTCGGGTCTCCTGCGTCTAGTGTTTTAACAGTTAACAGAGTAATACTGATTTGATTAACACATTTTGAATGTAAGGTGTGACCTTGCCCATGACACCTATTGTATGGGAATCCCGGTGAGACGATTGGCAAAGAAATGCGCGATCGCGCACACGCACGCACGTGCACACGCATGGTGAAGATTGGCGCCAGGCGGACTATTTAAAAGGTGCCTCTGCCTGTGCTGAGTGCTGACTGGCCTTCAGCTGTTCCCCGTTTCCTGCTCGTTCCTGTGTGAGTTCCTCGTTGCTGACCTGGCTTGTTCCTGACCTGACATGACTCTGATTACTCTCCTGCTTGATACTGGTTCCTGACTTCGGCTCTGCTCCTGACTTTGGCATGCTTATGATTTGGCACCTCGCTGTCCGCCTGTTGATGACCCAGGCTATTCCTATGACATTGCTCCTGTCTCCCATCCCAGCTTCCTGCCTTGCTCTGGTGCACGCCTGGCGACCTCCCATACCAGCTCTGCATATTACTACT